ACCCCAAAACCCCAAAACCCCGAAATAAAGAATTAATGTGAGTAATCAAAGCTAAATTTGATAATAAAATATGATTTTCTCTTAATTAACTTATTTCCGTAAATGATACTAAGACTTATATGATATCTGCGTATGATTTTCTTAATAATATATCAGATCCTATATTTATTCAATACAAATATTTTAAGTAATGGTCTTGAAAATTAAATTTAAACACTGTGTTTTTCTTTTTCTGTATATGTAAGACAAATTTTGATATATTAAGATTGCTAGATTTCTAATCTATTGTACTAATGGATTCGAGGATTTTTCCCCTGGTTGTAATCAAGATTTAACAACACCATGGATTATTAAGGGCATAAATCAAGATGTAAATATAACTGCATTGGATGTTTCAAGTTCAACTGCAAAAATTTTCATCGGTGGATATTCTGAGGATGATCTCTTAGTAGATATTAATGGCTTTTCAAAATTCTTCTACTTGATTCTAAATAATGATGGCACATTGATTCAGAGTTATAATTTAAAGGTAACAACTGATACATATGATCTCTCCGCATTAAAATGCAGTCCTGAAAATGATGTTATTGTAATAGCAATGTCAGGACTGAAAAGTATGATATTGATTCAATAAAATCCAGATAATCCATTTGCTAAATACGAGGTAGTGACAAATGAAATAGGTTTAATCAGCAATTTTAGAATAGAAAGTGATAGTCTTTAATTCGTAAATAGTAATAAGTTCGCTATTCTTTTGGATGTCTATCATGAATCAGGATAGTATTAATAACAGAGAATCATCATTTTGAACATGAAAAACCCATAAAATTGAATATTTTTCTTGCAAGATTAAACTAAAATATAAGCACTTGGGATTTATTTCGATGACAATAATAACCATATTTAATATGGAAGATTCTAAGATTCAGTAAAGACATAGCATATTATTTTGAAATTGTAAATAGGAGCATATCCATCACCAGACACTTATTAGATACCAGCATAGAAATACTTTCAATTTGATACGGAAAATGATCTCGAGAGAATAAACCATTTACATATCTTGTTGTATTAACTTTCACCTACTAGTTAAGCCTTCGATGAACAAATAGCTCATGGATGTATGAATGATGCTAGTCAGAATGCTTATATCTAAATAATAAGGGCTCTTGTGGATTCAGAAAAAATGAGTTCTCTAACATCTCATCGCTATGCTGACAGTAATCGAAGTTTTATGTAATGTCTTGGCATTTTTGCAGATTTGCAACTTCTTTCTATCCTTGTAAGGAATGATTTCGAAATAATTGTTGTGTAATTTGATTACGACTCCTTCCCTATGAGATAAAAAACTCTACTAGGTTTCAGTCAAAGCGTGCTATATCATAGTTTTGTTTCTAAATTCACAGCTGTTGATGCTGGATACTTTGGTGGCTAGTTAATGGATTTATTTGATTCATACCCTAAACCCAAACCAATTTCTACTTTCTTAAGTGCATATGTGATGTCAATGAACCCATTTGATTCTTGTGTCGAAATGACTGCAAACTATATTGAATAAGATTTCACATTTACTTCAGCTCCAATTCTTCAATACTAAGAGTTTTATATGACCTTTTGCCCATTAACATTGAGTATTGGCTCTGATGAGTGTTAATTATATCAATTGATAGATTCTTCAGATTAATCTATTTAGATGGTTTAAACAACTCTAAAAATAAGATAACTGTATAGTGATACTACAGACTTTGAATGGTGCACCTTCAATGATCAAATCAGTCTATTAGATTACCCTACTCCAGTAGATTATGTTATTGGGGAAGATGTTGAGTCTATTCAACCGTTAGGCAAAATATTTAGAAACGGTTGCTCTTTTTGTGGCCTTGAATATACATTTGAGACTATCAAAGTATACTAATATGTTATAAATACACCAGACCTTTTAGATATAACAAGCTTTTAGGAAATTTTTTAAGTTGATCAATCGTAATAAAATTTAATAATTAAAACATAAGATACTAGTCAAAGAGGTGAATATGAAGTACACGCAATTTCAAGGCAATAAAACGGATAATAAGCAATAGAAAAATTTCAAGTAAATCTAATGGTAAATTGTGATAATGATTTTGGTATGATCTTTTTCCCACCTAGTGAAATCACATATTTCGTTGGTCCAACCAGTTTAATTAAAACTTATGAATTCTCTTTGATCAAAGATAATATAAATGGAATATGTGGTGTACTTCAAAATACTTTTTTAAGTGATCCAAGGTTTTCAATTGATTATCAAATCACTTCAACAAAACTCATACTCAATTTTTAGGCAATAGATGATTCATTATATGGAGGTGAAGGTATAAAGAGACTTACCTCTTATCTTAGAGGATAATTTGAATTTTCTTCATAAGGATACTAAAAGAGTCTTCCTATAGTCATAAATCTTTAGAATTGTTTGGATTTTGATATTCCTCAATTTTCTATTCCTTCAGTTAATTATAAGATTGGAACAGAAAGATAGATCATTAGTGATTTATCCGGATGGACCTCCTCAAATTCTAATTGCCCGTTGACTTATTCGCTACCAACTGGAACTGATACTTCTTTTTCAATCCTAACTAATTCTCTTACAGTTTATCAAGGAAGTGGATTCAATTCAAGGACATAAACAGTGACAGTGAAGGCAAATTATATTGGATTTCCGAATAAAATATAATAAAGTAGTTTCACCATAAGAATTCACACTCAAAGCTGCAGCAGCTCAGAATTGACTTAAACAAATAATAATTTTAACACTTTTACCTATACAGTAGGAAATGTTCCTAATACGATTACGTTCAATGCATTTACAACATCATCTTTAACCTGCACTATATGGGATTACTAATTGAAGTTATAAAATGATTCATCTATTCCATCTTTTATGACCTTTATAGGAAGTTCAAGGGTCTTAACAATGAATCCAACATCAGCCAATGTGGGAACGTATTAATTAAAACTTAGAGGGCAGTTGATTAATAACTAATAACCTACTGATTACTAATTCTCAATTTAGATAAAGAAATGTGAGGCTTCAGATGTGTATCTAACTATAGACCCTCCGCCAACTAAGTTTGAATACTTTTCTTATTCTTAAAATGAAATTAAAGGACTTTAATTCTAGTAATATTTAGCACCAAGCACTAGCGGATGTGATACAATAAAAAATACTTTCACCTTAGCAGATGGATCTTTATTGAAGAATAAGGGATTTATCTATTCTCACTAAGATCAAGGTTAAACTTACTTGTTTGTTATTCAAACTTCTGCTTATATTTTTGATGGAATTTATACAATTACAGTAACTGGTAAAAGTGGAAATTATTTACAGATAGTCAAATCCTATACTCTAGAATTAAATATCACTTCTTGCAAGACTGCTTGGATTGGAGCTCAGTAATTTACGACTATATATTCATAGCTTATTTTTGGATCTTAAACTTGGCTTTAATTCCCTAAAGATAATCGATGCGATGTAACTTACACCATATTTAATGTAACTTCTAATTCAGCTCCTTATTCAAACATCGCTTATTTAGATAATGTACAAACTCATATTGCATAACTAAGAATTGTACCTCCTAATAATGTGAATTTAATTGGTTTAAGATGGAAACTAAGAATTAAAGCTTAGATGTAAGTATATTCTGGAAATTTTGCTTCATTCGAAGTAGATGTAGTATATCATAATTGTCAAACCACTTCATTTACTGCTCCAACTATATAAAGTTCATACTCATATGTCCCAGGAACAATTACCGAGATGATTTCAATTGGCTCTTGGACTTATATTCATTCAGATCCATTATGTCAATCTATAGATGTAATTGCATATCTTGATAATTTTTATCCATTGCCTGATTTCATAACATTTTTCTCTTCACCAACGTCTTTAATCTTAAATCCAATAAATGCAGAGCAAGGTTAATACTTAATAAAAATTGTGGCTTACTTTGGTAATGGATAAAAAAGTGAACTCCAAACAACTATTACTGTCCAACGTGGCTGCTAGTAATATGACATATTACTATAATCAGCAATTAACCCAGTAAAACATTTCATTTAAAACCCCTTAATTCCATAAACTTACACCTTTCCAATTTTCTATTCAAACAATACAGCATGCGGTTCAGTATCAAACATTTTATACTATCAAAATCAACAATTGAGCTCATTTTATAAACCTTTATTCGTAGCATAAACCACTTAAGATTCTGTAAGCAAAACTTAAACCATCACAATATTACCTTAAAATTCTAATTCATTGGGAAATCAAACACTTAATTTATAAGGAAAAATTTTGAGTTTAAATCTTATGAAGTCAATTGATATTGTCATAGAAATTACTTCTTGCTAAATTTAAACTATTGGAACCACATCATATTAAAGCACTACTTATGTACTTGGTTCAGAATTTTAAAATATAGCTCAACTATTAATACCTAACTTAGACTCCCATTGCTCCTATGAAATGAAATTACTGAATGCTTAAATTCAAAGAAGCTTATTATCAACTTAATTTAAAATTTAAAACAACAATATCTAGGCTAACTTAACAATTGATGATGGATTCATGATTGGTTCAACTTTTTAGATTATTGTGAGCTACTATATGATTGATTTCCCTACAAATTTTGTAAATGAGCCTATTAATATCCTAATTTAAGGTTGTAGCCCAAATTCAATAGTCTTGTCCGCAAATTTAGGTTAGTTTACCTACAGAATAGGCTAGACTAATATTGATAATAGAGTGATATATAATTAATGGACTACTGATGATCCAGTATGCTAGAATTGGAATACTAAGATATTGATTGATTTAAATGGATAATTAACTGATGCTCCTGTATTTTTACAACATTTTAAAAGCAATCAAACTTTAATTATTAATGATATTACCTAGTAGCAGATTGGTACTTATAAAATAGTCATTAAGGGAATCCTAAATCAAATGCTCTATGGATATCAAAATTTCACATTATATATTGAACTGTTAGATTGCGCAACTGCTATTGTATCAATTCCTAATTACCACAATATTTAATACTGGATTGGAAGTGGATTATAAACATTTAACCTATAACAATTCACTGTATCCATATAACCTTGTCCAGTTACATATTAACTCTTTCATGCCATTTCTGACAATAAATTTTAAGCCCGATGTTAAACAGAATCTTTATCTGATCAAGCAAATTCGCTTTAATATTCATTGGTTTGCTAAAGTAATTCATTAGCTAATTAAAATAGTGTTTATTTATAAGGGACTATTGTAGGATTAATAAGCAATATAATTCCAAAATCTAATCCTTTTACTATAGAGATATTTAGAAATTGCTCAATTTTTTACTCAGATGAAATTGAGAATCAGCATTACCCATATTATGTAGGAGATTTATCAAAACTATTTACAGTCAAATTGGAATACTCTTACTCTGATTGTGCGAGTGCAATAACCTATAGTGTTATAAAATAATCAAATATGGTGATTGAAAGCTCTATTTAGCAAGTTTTAGAGGGTGGGGATATTGGTATTTCTATCCAAAATACTTACCAATTACTTTAAGGTTAATCAATCAATTACAACCTTAAAGCAGAGATAATCGAAAATGGCAAGACTTATACAGCTACTTTTAGCTTTTATGTTGACTATCTTAGCGGGTGTGACAGTGTAACGGTTTTTGCAGATGATGATTTAAACTAGCCCGCTATTAAGTATAATGTGAAAGATGATCAAAAGATTATAGATCTTAGTGGACATTGGTCTATTCCTGCTTTTTGCATAAGTGCTGCTACTTATTCTCTGGAATATAAGATTGATGATACTCCCAGCTATTCAAGTTAGATACCTAATTAGTTTATATTTGATTCTCAAACTTAACAATTAACCATATATAGCGTTGATTACAGCAGTAAAGGTAACTTTATATTTATAATGACAAATTACAATAGGAACATATACTTTTAGATTGGTTGTTGCAATTTCAGGTTCAAGCATAATAACACGAAATACTCTAATAATTGAAATAACTGACTTTAACCCTGATTGTGCATGGGATTAAATCACGAATAAAACAGAGATTCCAATAAGTAAAAATTATTTTATTAGCGATCCCCCAATGCTGATTGACTATAATATTCTCAACGGAAAAATCAATTTATACTGTGGAGTAATCTATACATTGATCTCTTCAAATATGTCAGAAGGATTTTAAGATGTTTAGACTAGTAAATAACTTATAATTTAGACTGCTAATATAAATCTTGTTGGTGCTTATGAAATAGTATTCAAAGGGGCATTCCAAGATAATCTTCCAGTTTGGATGACATTCAATATTATAATAAACATCATTCATCCTTGTGGAAAAGCATTAATAACTAAAAGTAGCATTCCTGACTTGAATATTCCATTGATTTATAGATTTCCAGATCTTCATTAAAAAAATATTGAAAGTTATAAAATATTTTGGAGTACTGATATACTTACTTGTACTATAGATCAATATTCAATTTAAGATAAAGTCTCAAACGATTTCCCACATTATGGATTATCATTACTTAACAATTATTTAGGGGTTAATCCATTAAATCCATAGTAATTCATTGGATAGAGTTTTAGCTTTTATCTTATTGGAGAGGTTCTATAGTATCCTGCTAATAAAGCTCAATAGGAAATAAAAATTAGTTTTGTAGAGGATTGTAGTTAAGCTACCTTATCACCAGGGATGATAGAGAATTAAGTTTTTAAAGTAGGATAAGAAAATATTTCTTTAAATATTCCATTTACTACTGATCCAACTTCCTGTGCATTAATCACCAATTTTGAAATAAGACAAGATATTAATGAAGAGACAAATTTTGTCTCTGTTACAAGTGATAGATAAATAACTATTGGAGGAGCTAGCATTTTAGATATCAATGAATACTTTATCTAAGTTTTTATGACTATAACTGATTCAAATTTTATTGACTTCATATCATTCACACTGAGCATTATTGATCCTTGTGCTGTTGCTAAATAATTCCCTGCTGATCAAAACAATTTAGAAGTTTTGATTGGAGGAGAAACTATTGCTGATATTATTCCATTTACTACTGATGTGACTAATTCTCAATGCCAGAGTTTTAGTTACTAGCTAGATTTTGCTGATTCTACTGATCCCTCTAATTATCTACTCCAATTTGAAGTTAATCCTTAATAATTGAAATTCTTTGTTTAAGACTACTAAGCTTAAGATTTGAAATTTTAGTTAATACTCAGAGGATTTTTGCCTGGACTAGATCCAGTAGAGACGACATTCTTTGTAACAGTAAAGGTTAACTGTGCTAATTAATAAATGACTTTAGCAAGTTCAGTTGTTGAGAAAATAATTTATACTGTAAAGGACTCTACTATTGATGTAGATTGCTCTTCTAAATTTAAATTGAATTTCAATGGATGTGGAGATGTTTAGTATATGTGCACCTACTCTAATGATAATCCTTGTGACAATGAGGTGTTTATTTTAAATTCTTTGACAGGAAAACTAAGCATTTATACAGACAATATAAATAAGGTGATGAATGATTGGACAAGTATTTATATTACAGCTTTTGTACCGAGATATTCATATAATGGAGCAGAAATAAGTATATTTATTAAAGCTAATTGTAATGATACAATTTTCACATCCACACCTGCTCCTATAACACAAAATCTAATAATAACTGACTAAGGCGCTTCTATTATCTATAATGGCATATTTACTGATAAATTTAACTGCTAATCAGAATATGTTTATTCTTTGACTCAGAGTGATGGTAGTCAACTTCAATCATGGATATCATTTTACAATCAAAGCACATAAATCTATTTACTGGTTTCCAAGGAAGCTACTCTTAACATTCTTTCACTACTAGTAAAAGTAAACATTGGATAAATTGAAGCAACTAGCCAATTTACAATAATTCTTGTATGTCCAAATCAGGTATCAATTTCTCCGGTATTCCAAATTTCATCTTACACTTATAATCTGAAAAGTCCAAACATTATTATACCATTAGATAGTTTCAAGCAATATCCAATAGTTTGCAAAAGAGAATTAACTATTACAGTAGAAATCTATAAGATAATAGATCTTTAATAAATTTCAAATGACATAAGTAATCAGAGTTCATTAGTATATTTGGACAATGGCTAATAGCTTATTATACATTCTGAAGATTAATAATATGTAGGTAAATAACTTGGATTGAAGGTTGTGGCAACATAAGCAGTTTAATAAGGTTAATTTGCTTTCAATATATTTACTCTAAATGTTGAAGCATGCTAGCTTCTTAATCTGCAGTTTCCATAAAGTGAATCTAAAGATTTTTACTTGATTGGCTCAGGCTAAAAGATCACTAAAATACCAGAAGTTGTTTAAACACCTAACTGTAACTATGCAATCACATATTAAGTGCAATATCCAGATATTTCTCCTCAAGGAATTCAGATAAATTCTAATACCCTTTAAATAACAATCAACTCTAATAGCCCAAGTGATGCTGGTACATTTGAATACAAAGTTAAAGCTATTTATTCAAAAACTTTACAGGCTTAATATTCTTATAAATTAGAATAAGCAGCTAAAATTTTAGCACCACCTTACTTTAATACGAATTTGGAAAATTTCATACTAAATTCTAACACCATTGTTTAATATCAGCTTCCTCAAGTTATTAAACCTACTGGAAATAATTATATAATCAAGAAGCAATTTGGTGAGGCATCTAGATTTGTGCAATTTTATCAAAAGACTATGACTTTTGTATTTGCTCCTACTTAAAAACAGATGGGTAAGATATATCTTATTCAAATTGAACTTATTGATAAATTGGCTACAACTCTTATGAGTACTTATGAAATTCATATTTATGTGAGAGATCCAGCTAAGTAAGATCCTAATATAACAGTATCTTAGAATTACTATGTAAATTTTTATTAAACTAATTATTATCTTTAGTTTGATCCTACTTCTAACTAAAATTAATAACAGGTAGTACCTAATCAAATTAATTAGCAATCAGAATATTATGCAGAATAGACTACTCAAAAATATCTTGATCAATAGGTGTATGAGGTGGTCAATCAAAGTTATACATAAAAAGACTTTAGTATGAATAACTTTAGCAGCTCATAAGTCTAAAGCTTATTGAGGAAAATTAACACAAAGCTATACGAACCTGCTCTTAAACCAGAGATAACTTCAATAGATTAACTTGGAGAAGTTACAATTAAGTTTAATATGGATTTGCTGATTCCTAACAGCTATTAAAATTTCAATGAGAATGTAATCAGAATCAGAATAAAGTCTGATTCTCAATTTAATATGTAAAGTAAACAGCAAAGCAACAGAAATTTAGCATAGTTAGAGGATGTTAAAAATTAAGGTGAAGAAGTATTCAACTATACTTGGAAAATAACTAAGTTTACAAATAATGAAATCAAGCTTTTAATTGACTTTAAGGAACCTCTAAAAGTTTCATAGCAAGTAACTTAATTAAACTTTTGACTATCAATTATAGGGCTCAGACTATCTCTCTATTTAGTTCATTATGAATGGATTTTTTATAAGTGAAAAGACTAAAAAGCCAATTTAGTTCAATTACTATATGTAGAAGAAAATGCCAAGGCAAATGAGAAGAGATTGTAATAAACTTATTGATGATATTAATAATATAGTGCTCTCTGGGATTATTGCTGATATGGCTGGAACAACTAAATAAGCAATATAAACAGTGATGCTCGGAAATTTCGCACTATAATTAGTCTTGTAAAATCTAATGTAATTCATAGTAATTATTAGAGCTACAACATTACAGTATTTGTGGGGAATGATTAACGCACTCTAAATAATATTTCATCTGCCATTACTAAGGCTATCATTTCCATCCAATACCTAATTTGTATTTGCAACCTTTATTAGTTTGACATAATTTGATGTTGTACCTTCGCAGGCTATTGAATAAGATATTTTCCAATTTTAAGAATCAGAGCCAATTAACGATGAGTTTTTTATAATGGATATCTTTAAATGAACAATATCTTTATTTTAATGATCTCTTAACTCTCTAAAGCTATGGAAATACAAACCTTATTCAGAACCTAGGAAGTTTATTTGCTTACCTGCTAGTATTAATTATTGCTATTGCTTTTACTATTGCATTAAGAATTTTCAAATTTAAAGTTAAGTTGTAAGAAATTTAAGATTCTGAGAAAATATATAGTTTGAGGAAAGTATATGATTTCATGTCAAAGAGATTATTTTTTAATGCAATCATTAGATTTTATATGGAGGCGTATCTTGAATTCACAATTTGCGCAATGATTCAGTTCACAGATCTAAGCTATAATACTGTTACATAAAAATTGTCATCTATTTTGGCTTTTGTATTTTTAGGCATTTCAATTTTGCTCCCAATTATGGGAACAATTCTTTTGCTCTTAAACTAAAAGAGATTGTATCTAGAAGTAATTCAAAATAAATATGGAGCACTTTATGAGAATATTGTAATTATCAAAAAGGCAAACTTGCTTTATATATTTTTCTTCTCATTCAGGAGATTTATATTTTGTTATGCTGCTATTTTTTGTCGAGAATACTCCATAATCTAGTATCATGTAATATTTGCGTAGAGCCTGATAATGCTGCTATTTGTGTTTTATTGTAAACCTTACACGAAATCTTAGTTTAATACTCTAGAGATATTTAATGAAATTTGTATCTTGATTTCTTCTTATCATACTATCATATTCTAAGATTTTATTAGCGATTAAGATATTTAGTATGATGCTGGCTGGTCAATGATCCTAATAGTATTGATAAATATGATAGTCAATTTAATCGTCATTTTAATATCTTCCACTAAACTTATTTTAGAGTTGATACTAAATATTAAATAGAAATACTAGAACTAAGCAAAGAAAAATACTTAAAATACTTACAACATTTATCATTAAAATCACACTCAAATATTGGGCCATTCTAATACAGAGGCAGTATTTTTAGGTCAAGGGGATGAGCAAAAGTTTAATGATTTAAGGGATGAAAATAAGTTTGATCTCTCATAATCAAGCACTATGATACTAAATGCTTCGTTAAATGATAGAATTTATTACTAAAGCAACAATGACTTATGATACTCTGCTAATGATCATAAATATATCAATAATTTAGAGAAGATAAACATTAGAGATGATACTAATCATTAAAAACTTTAATATCAGCATAGTTAATTAATTCAAGAATGATTTTTAAAACTATTCATTCAATATCTAGATTTTTAATGATGATGGGGTTTTGGGGTTTTGGGG